CTCTCAGACTGAAGAAGTCTCTTGGAGGAGAGACGAAACATTTACACTGTTACATATTTTAGTGGTATCAGAAGTATTTGCAATGTTGGGGGACCCACTAGTTTGGGGGTCCTCCCCCAGAAAATTTTGAATTAAGTAGAGGCCATTTCCTGCATTCTGGTGTATTTTAACAGGTTGTTAAACAGACTTTTACCTACATAGGAAACACTTGGTGAAATATTCAGTAAATCAAGTGGAATTAATTTATTTGTTCAACAATAGAAACACTGGGTGAAGTAATATTTTATGGTAAATGAGATGAATTAAAATTTAAATGTGATGTGGAAACTTCCCTTCACAAATGATTGGTGTGATGTCTGTCATTTTATTAAAAAAGTCAAAATATACATTTTAAAAACATTTAAAAGGAACATTCTCAGGTTTAAATGCACTCTTCTGTTCTTTGTTACAACACTTTGATTTACTTGTTGTTTAGTTTTGTGAACAAAACCTGTAACTATAAATAGCCAACACTGGAAATAAAGTCTATATACTATATACTGTTATATACAATATCTACTGTAGAACTATCCCAAATTATTCATTTATTTGCTTTTTCATGCTGTTAGTTTTAATGATTTTGGTCTGTGAGAGAAACTGGAGTACCTGGAGAAAACCCACTAATACACAGGGAGAACAGAGGCAACATGTTGCTCTAACAACTGCGCCACTGTACTGCCTAATGTCACATCTGTCATATAATTGTTTAAATTATTTAATTAATATTTAATTAAAAATATATCTATGAATATAACCTCCTGAGAACTTCCATCTTTGAGAGCACTGGTTTTAAACTGGTTCTGTTTATTCAGAGGAACTAGATTTTTAATATTTTGTTATTTTTTATTTTAAACAAAATATAAATTAATGTTTTAACTCTTAATTGTTAAAAAATCAATGTTTGTTTTTTTAAATTTATGAGGTTCTATTCCTAAATAGCTAGGGGAATTGAAAAAGGAAAAATTTGGGTATTCAAGAGGATAAAACTGGTGGTGGGGGCAGATGTGATTTTCCTGGTACTGTATGTACTAATACATAAATAATTAATGTAAAAATATATATGCTTTATTCTGTGACACATTAACATGAAAGTAATTATCTTTAACTTAAATTATCTTTCATTTCAAATCTACTTTTAGTGACTAAAACCTTTATATTAACATGTTAAACATTTTATTAATCATTAGACATTTTTATTTAAATAAATACAATAAAATAAATACTCTACAACCTAATACAAACTTATAAAAGTATTTCAATGAATTTGAGTTAGTTATTAAAATAAAACCTGAGAGAAAAACAAAAAGATCCACGTCTCTGCAGCACAATAACTGCTGCACCTGTTTAATTAGTGTGCTAATTGCTAATTACATCCTGTTTGTTGTTTTCCCATATACTACAGCTGTGTGTGTGTGTGTGTGTGTGTGTGTGTGTGTGTGTGTGTGTGTGTG